AAATAAAATAAATAAATAAATAAAATCTAGTCTAATAGCTAAATATCCTACGATGATTTGGGTCATTTTTGTTATTTGTGATTTGAAGGTTTGGGGTGTTGCTTTCTTCGCTAGATTAAAATCACAAAGAGAAGCCTACTGTTGTCTCCCTTGTCTGCCATTCTGCTGACCAAGATAAGTTGGCAGAGAAAGTACAATTGAGTAAAATGATTTTTAGATGTGGGAGAGCAATACATTATAACTAAATATATTTAAAGTGAACCTTCACAATTTGCTTATTTCAATTTTATTTTAAATAAAGCAGACGTGGGCGCCTGGGTGGCTCAGATGGTTAAGCGTCTGCCTTCGGCTCAGGTCATGATCCTGGAGTCCCGGGATCGAGTCCCGCATCGGACTCCCTGCTTGGCGGGGAGTCTGCTTCTCCTCCCTCTGACCCTCCTCCCTCTCCTGCTCTCTGTCTCTTGTTCTCTCTCTCTCAAATAAATAAATAAAATCTTTAAAAAAAAAATAAAGAAGTAATTATTTATGCTTATGTTATTAGCTAACATAAATGCATTACATTCACTTGACCCTAATGTATTAAATGTGTTTGCAGGCAAAATTAAAATAAACTGAAAATATCTATAACATGTTCATACATAAGTCCAAATTTCACCGTAAGGAACAATAACAGCAAAAGTTTTTCTGAGTTTTGAAAAAAAAAATCTCTGACACCACCAGGGCCCAATGAATGACATTTGAAATACTCTTATAATTCAGAAAGAGATGATGAATGGATATGCTATGGAGTTTGCATATATTTGGGAGGAGAATGAGGGATGAAGATAGGGTTTCAGAGTAGAGAAAGTGACTTGGTCTATAAAGCCTTGGATGTAGACACTTTGGGCCACAGAATAATTTCCAGGAAATTGGGATGAATTGGCATATTAATAAGATATTTATAAAACATCTATCTTTTATGCTTTTGAGAACTCCTGTATTTGCCAACAAAAGAAATAGTAAGAATATCAAAAGAAAAGCTAACTTCAAAAATGGTATTTGAACAACTATTTAAACCTCTGAAGAACTTGAAAAATAAAGATCACTTGCACTAGGGTTCAGAACTTTAGCACTTCCAATTGTGGTCAGTCCTTCCTTTGATTCTTGGGTCCAGTTTACATTAAATCCAAGAACATTAGACCCAAGAACAGAGCTAAGAGCCGCTCTCTTCTTATTTAAATGGAGTCCAATTTATTTTAGCTTGAGATTCCATCTTTTAAAATCTCATCCTGAGCTTCTCAGAAAACCCAAAGGTCATGTTTACAGAATAGATGCACAGCAGGATTAAATAAATGTGGAACTGCTTGAGCTGCAGGCCTTCTTTTTTATTCTATCAGAGATGCTGTTAATCTTCAGATGATTATTTTTGCAATATAAAATATATATCCTGGATTATGAAAACTAATTCCCCACCTGACACACTCATAAACAGTTTTGTAAGAGCTAATTTTAGAATGTTCCCAGGTTTTTTCATGTCATCATCAGAAACAATTTACATTTTAAAAAATTCTCCAGTGCCCCTCAAGACCCTTTTATAAGCAAACACTCCTCCACAATACAAAGCAATAAATGTAGTGAGTTTTGCATACTGTGGAAAAGATGAGAGCCATGCTTTTTATTATCTTTCCTTGTTTTCACTGGTGGATGAGAAGAGGATTGTTATGAAAAATTGATAATGTAAGATGATCGGAGAAGGCCAAAAAAAAAAAAAATGACAACAGCAAATACGACCAAAGGAATAAGTTGCACTATCAATCACAGTAGTTGATACACTGCAATTTAACTGATAGCTATAATCACACTGTTCTTAGCCCTTACATTCTTTCTGTGTGCTAAGTTATGTCAGCAGGGATTCATCTTATGAGCAATATTTCTTGTTTATGGAACTCTCTTAGTTCATAAAGCATTTTCATATTATTATTATTTCATTTGCTTCACACCATAACCCAGTGAGATAGATGAATTAGGAATTACTGCCTATATGTTATAGATCAGTAAAAAAGATCACAGACTATAGTCATACACTCCTAAGCAGTTTTGAGGCCAGAACTACTGATGCAATGTACTTTTCTCCCTACCAGACTTTGAGTCAAAACACACATGAGCATGCAAACACACACACACACACACACACACACACACACACACACACTACTTAAAAGAAAAAAAAATTTCCAATGAAATTTTTCTCCCGTGAAAACTGCTATTATTTTTCCAGGATCCTCTTCTTTCTTTGAGATGGGTTAAAATATATAGGTGCTATTTGAATTAACAAATATAACTAGTGGTTTTTTGAGAATGATAGTTTTTTAAACCATAGAAATATTTCATTTTAAGCAAATATAAGATATAAAAATTCAATTTGCTCGGAAGAGGAATTAGAGGATTATATTGCTTTACAAAAAGACTCTGAATGGAATTGCTTTAAATAGCAAAATTCCCCAGAACATTTAAGATATGTTGATTTATGAAAATCTGATTCATATAGAACTTTACAGGAATACATCTGCTATATAAATCCATGTTCACCTGTAATTTACTCTAGGGGGAACAACTGAGTGATAATAATAATAACACACTCATATAGTTCTTCGTTATGTATTTTAAAGTTCTTTCCCCTAATTTATTGCATTTGTCTTTGGCAACCTTATAAGGGAGGCAGAGAGGGTATTATTATCCTTTCTTTATAGATGAGAAATTGAGAGGTTAAGTGACTTGCCCAAGGTCAGACAGACTATTCATTCATTTACTGCTATTTGAGTGATGTAGTTTTAACGGGTTAGTCAAGGAAGTAAGGTTCTTCCTCCTAATTTTTTTAAGCAGCTGTGAAGGCTATTAAAACAGAGGTGGATGATCTCACAAATATAATGCTGAACAAAAGAAGCCAGACACAAAAGCGTACAGACTGTATGATTCTACTAATATAAAATTCAAATGCAGGCAGAATTAATTTATGGTGGCAGAAGTCAGAATGGTGGTGAAATTTGGAAAGAGGCGGATGGTGACTGGGGGAAAAAGGGGGGCTTCTGGCATATGCTAATATTGTATTTCTTGCTCTGGTTTGTGGTTACATAGTTATGCTCACTGTGAAAAGTCACTGAGATGTATACTTGTGACTTGTTTATATTTCTTTATATATATTATGGAAGTTTTCTTTTAAAAAAGAGTTTTGTATCTTTAAAAACAGTACAGCACTTTAGAAGATCATTACATATCCTTTGAACATATGTGATTTCAATTAAGTTTCCTAGCTGCATTCTAAAATGAGAATCTGAACTAAATTAGAAGAATTTAAAGAGAAGGAAAAGTTTATAAAAAACAAACATCTGGGATCATCTTCACCTGAAAAGTTGCTATCTGAAATGCGAAATCAAAGCAAACTAAGATAACATAATTCATTTAGGACCAGTGGAACATTTACATTTAATGACATTAAGCTGGGAATTGTAGAGAAATGACATTAAATTGTGATTCACATAGTATATTCTAGAGTATATGTATGACTCTAAGGAAGATCAGATTTTAATTTTTTTTAAAAATCCGCTTTATTTTAGAATTTCGTATATTAGGATGCTGCATTGGGCATCAAGGTAGAAAGCCAATGGCAATGATAAAAATCTGAGGAGAATGTGCATACCTGGGGACAAACATGGGCTCCTGAGAATCCCAAGTAGCCTTCCATGTAAGAATGTTTGAGAGAAATATGTTTTGACCATCATGCAGGATAGAAATTACAGCTGCATTCAGTTGCTTAAGGCAGTTTCAAAATTTATACTGCAGTTTTCTAAGAATCCCTCACCCCCTGTGACCCTGTAACTCTGAGAACTAATACTGCGCTTGTACCCAAAGTTACCACTGACGACATATGTTTTGTTTAATTTTCCCATATTATCTTTTTTGTTGTTTTTCTTTCATTTTATTTTTCTAAAAAAGAATCCATTATAGTACCTTCAAGTCATCTGAATCAATTCTCTATCTTGATATCATAGGTCAGGAACAAAGAATTTCCAGGTGTGTGGGGGTGGGGGTCAGACTCCATTTCAGGGTGCTTTCCTTTCACCAGTGATGTCTCAAAGCCAGCTCCACCACAGCCAGGACTACAGCTTGGTGAGTTTTTCCCCAGGAGGGCCCTTGAAGGCATCCTGTTCAGGGAGAAGCCTTTAACCTTTAACCCATTCACACATTTGTTTTAATTCCTGACCAACTGCCATAGTCTTGTGGGTTAAGGCCTTGCTAACTAATTTTTTAAAAATACATGTTAGACCCGAAACACCTGTAAGTAGCAAGCTGCACATTGTGTATAAGGCACACAATCAAGTTCATTGTGATCACTGCATCCAGGACAAGTGTGAGACTTAGCTGTCTTCTGGAATCTGGGTTATTAGAAGGTCAACCCGTGTTCCCCAGAACACGGCTCCAGAGATAGGGAGGAAGAGACAGGAAGAGGTAGGTTGAAGGAATTCTACTCTTCAAGGCTCAGCAAGCTGCCCCAACTTCTCTTTCACTGTCAAAGGATAAACAAATCACGAGGAATGGGACATGAATGTCTATGGGCAAGTCCATGTGGAATCATTTCATGATGTTTTTTAATGACAGGGATCAAGAAGGCACAACTGTTTCTTTCTGGGGGAACCCTTCAACAACAAAAACTCCTTGAATCCCTGTGGAAGCCTCACTATACTAATTCACAGTTAGTCATATTCCTCTGAATGTGACTTTTGAAAACTGAAAACTCATTCCTTCGAAACTCATTCCTATTTAAGCTAATACGCATATCCCTGAATTTAATCTTCCTTACAGCAGCTGAATAAAGCAAATTCCATTCTTTGACCTTCCTCACTGTCTCTCATTCCTCCCACCTGAAATCTCTCACTTTTTACTTATCCACAATCTGGACCACAGTTTTAAATAACTTAGACTTCCATTATTTTTAGTATAGGAAAAAAAATTGAAATACTTGCCATCAAGCCTTGTTCTCCTGGTTTCCCTGGTTCACCCTTAAAAAAGAATAGTGATAATTTTTATTAATGCCATAAACATTAAAAAGCAATTTCAATCTTTTTTTTTCTCTTTCACAATACCCACCGGGGTGTATGAATGTCAAATATACTTTTCAGGCTAAGTAGAGAAATGCAAACACAATGTAATAAAAAGAGAGCCAAGTTCTTTCTTCAAATGCATTTTATAAACATTTTAGGATTTAATAAAATGAGTCTAGATCACAGCAGAGATTTAAGAATTATGCCAAGAATGTATTCTAAATAAAACTAGTAGGGGTGATTATATTGTTAGTCAATAAATGGTCCTAGAAAAATATTTAATTGTAATTCTAGTAACATCTCATTTATTATGTTCTGTTCATGATGACATAAAGATGATGACCTGGGCCTCTTTATGAGAACTCAGAACTTCCATATACAGGACAGAGAGACAACCTGCTCTTAGTACAGGAATTAAATAATAAAATGAGCAGATTGATTTTGAATTTTGGTTTCCCTGGATTCATGATGGCTGAAATAACATGTTTTATTAAAAATAATAGCATATGTTAAAATACATAGAATTTTGTACTGTATCATACCACTATCATAGTTTTCTAATACTCAGATTCATATAAAATTCCTTATTATGTTTTATTGTCATATTATTATATTGGCAACAGATAGCTTTTGGAAAGACCATTTGTGTAATGTTGATAGCTATAGAAATTGTTGGACTTTAAAAATAAGTATTTCTCAGTTTGTTTTTATAAAACCTTTTTCTAGTGGTTATGATGGTATATAAAAATTAACTGTGAGACTATAAATACAGTTTAATTTCTCTGTGGAATTAAAAAAAAAAAAACCCTGTTCATACTTCCATGTAAAAGCTCCATTTCTTACTGAGATGAATAAACTATATTCATTTAGAGGATAACATAATTTTTCAATATTTACAGGTTGTCATACCTTACCTTTATCTTATTTCTTGAAAGTAATCTATACTTTGAATTTTCTGTAGAGTATACAATACCCAATGATCTGACTAATTTTGTACCACCAAAATGGTTTTAACTGCTCTTCTTAGTTGAAGAAACACTCATTGTATCTTTCTTGGCAACCAGCAATTATTTGGGGAACTTTTAAATATCCCTAAAGGTGTGCTGTCTCTATCATTTGCAATATCATCCCAGGAAAATATCAGACCTTCGAAGACAGTTTCAAGATGAAACCACTACCTTTGATGGTTCAGTGAAAGCCGTCCTAACAACCAACCAATCATAGGTTGGGAGTCAATCCCTCACTTCAAATGACAAATTTACAGCCACTTTCAGAAAGGGAAATGGGACTTCTAAGAGATTGTCTCAGAAAAGCCATAAAGTACCTTATATTCTTACAAAGAGAATCACTCTTTGAAAAAAATATGTAAATATATGAATATAAAAATGAAATACACCAAAACATTAATGACTATGGCTGATTTTTTTTTCTTTTTGGTTCTTTAGTTTTAAAAACTTTCTACTTGGGGCACCTGGGTGGCTCAGTCGTTAAGCGTCTGCCTTCGGCTCAGGTCATGATCCCAGCGTCCTGGGATCGAACCCCACATCGGGCTCCCTGCTCGGCGGGAAGCCTGCTTCTCCCTCTCCCACTCCCCCTGCTTGTGTTCCTGCTCTCGCTATCTCTCTCTCT